GGACCGGGCCGCGGGGGCGTTGATCCCCGGAATAACCTCCAGGTATATGCAACACTTGGGTATTTTCTACTACCTCCAATGTTACAAAATCCCGTATTCGACTGAAGAAACCTGTTGTGCAGGCGAAACGTTTCGTCAATAGATACCCATGTGTTACACGTGTCATAAAACATACAAGTCTCGTTTTCAAAGATAAAATTACGTAACGAAGATAAAGAAATATGATAAGGTATTGACAAGCTCGGTAAGGGATGTCTCAACCACTCGCCTTACATCCACAACCAATGAATGGAAGATAATATTTAAATCACCCACCATTAAATGTTCACTCTCCCAGAAATTTCAGCAAACATGACAGACTAGTCTTCATTCACATAGTTCGTAGCATCGGTTATTCGTTTCAAATGAACGTTTAAAATATAAAATGCACCCCAACTTGCTTAAGGGGAATTTGTTGAAGCCTTTTTTGTATTTGTCTTTTCCCTTAAAAATTCGATGAAGTTATACCCAATAAACTATTTGTGTACGTAATTTTGGTATCTACAATATACTTTACTATACGTAGTTGTTTATTTGTATGCAGGCATGTACAGCTTTATAAGTAACTTATGATCAATTCAGGTTCATTCAAAAGGCCAATATACAATTATACAGCGAATGCAATACACACCACTGGATATTATTTTATTAACAGAGACGCGTTAAAACTTTAAGGTCAGCACCTAAGGAATGGGTGGTAATGAGGTTTGATCCAAGAAAGGAGTGGTTATTTTCATCACAAGCATCAAAACAACCTTGAAATCCATAAACTCTGTAGCTTTAATCTAGGTTAACCCCTTCCCCTCAAAAAGTTGGTTAATTTGTTTCCACTGGCTTATCTTAAAATTGAGTATCAAATACACACCACAAGCGGCATCACGAGGCAACAAAGGCGGACATACAGAATGATAAATATACTAAGGTATGTACGTATTGCCTCGCACACGCCCTGTGATGGCAGGAACGTGAGGCAGTGTGTAGGCAGCAGCTTTACCCCAGGATTACGGGAGTGAATCCTAGTCACCACTGAACTTTGTATCCTGCCATCACCCTCCTGCCTTGTATGTCTGCTGTGTGGAGCTGCTTCAGTGCTTCCAGCTACCCCCCCCCCTTCCCCATCAAAATACCATTAACAACCATCAACCAAGCTTTGTTACCTTTACCTTTGGCGTACCTTTCATGGATGTCAAGAGTTTGCCTACTCCTGTAGCCCGGCACTGGGCCAGGGTTGATACGGTTACAAGTACTTTTCTACGGCTCATCCATATAAACCAAGAGTTAGCCTACCTTAACTCGTTCTAAAACTTGGCCTAAAACTTTGGTAGTCCCCGCCCCCAGCATACGACCCATTATTTAATTTACACCCAGGTACCTGTTTGCTACTATGCGAACAGAATCAGCAGGTGTAAGGCGACTAGACCAGAAATCTTATTTTGCCTGGGGTATCGAACACGGGGCCTTCTGATCTTTAACCATGTATCCTTGCATTTCACCGAAAAAAAATATCATTAATTTGCCCAGTGGTAGACAGCATTCGCTTCAAACCTATTAAAAACTAGATTATCTGGCGGTTAGAGACATATAGTCAGGTCTCCTTTCACCTGCCACTCATGTTAACCTAACAGCAAAATAGGTACCTGAAGAGGTAGCTGGCTGTTAGGAGTTGTATTCCAGGAAAAAAGACCAGAATGGAAATACAGCACACACTGTGCATTTGTTGCCTTTAAAACCTGTAAAACAGAACAGAATTATCTAAACACTGCAATGTTACAATTTCATTTAACAAGGTGATGGAAGAAAATATGGAAAAAAAAATATATGTAAATCTCAGTAAGTTTTAACTTGTCTTTAAGTGAGAATCCTCTCTAAGAAATAATTTAATGGTTACTCCAGCCGCTCTCAAACAAAATTTTTTTTAAATGAGCTCAACCTCACTTTTTTATCTGAAATGCGACCCACTCTAAAAAAAAAAGCCTTACTTTTAAATGGCCCCATCCATAAAAAAGCCATTTCTAAAAAATAACTATAAAAAGGTTTGAAAAGTTAAAATATATTTACACATGTTAATCAGAAGCAGGTTTCTCACCAGCACACTGGTTTAAGTGGGGAGGGGAAGAATCTTTGACGTTCTTACACTGCAATTTGAAAACACACACACACACACACACACACACACACACAATCAAGACATTAATATACAGGGTGAACAGGTAAATGGTGCTAATGAAAACTAAGTGCAGTAAGTACATTAAGAGATTGACAAAAAAAAAATCCAAGGTATTTCAACACCCTTCAGATACAAGGGGTAACCATCAAACTCCGTCTTCAGAATACCTGATAATTTCCTGATTGGCCAGGATGTGGTGCCTACGTCGAACTGTGCTGAGAGCACCAACAAACTGACTGACCAGGACATTAGCCAGCATGTCTAGTCTGAGACCGAAATGCGTGGGTAATAATTCCCGGAACCACCTATTGCTAAACTACAGTACAGTACATGGTTGAAAGGCAGTACCCACAAAAATGGTTAATACAAAAACACTTAGTACCCCACAAATATAATAAAAAGAATGCACCCAAAAATAAGATACAGTGCCCACAAATATGAGATAAGATAAGATAAGATTTCGTTCGGATTTTTAACCCCGGAGGGTTAGCCACCCAGGATAACCCAAGAAAGTCAGTGCGTCATCGAGGACTGTCTAACTTATTTCCATTGGGGTCCTTAATCTTGTCCCCCGGGATGCGACCCACACCAGTCGACTAACACCCAGGTACCTATTTGCTGCTAGGTGAACAGGACAACAGGTGTAAGGAAACGTGTCGAAATGTTTCCACCCGCCGGGAATCGAACCCGGGCCCTCCGTGTGTGAAGCGGGAGCTTTAGCCACCAGGCCACCCTAAACTATATGTAAAACAAAGACACTTATTGCCCACAAATATGGATAATATACAAAATATGGATAAATACACATATGGATAATACGGATAATATAATAAAAAACACTTACCGTTCACATATATCGGTGATACAAATACACAGGCCAGGTGAAGTCGACAATATGGCTTGATGAAGACTCTTCTCTAGATGCCGATGTTAACGACAGGTGAACCTGGCACATTTTATCCACCTGTTCATCGCTTCGTTGATCACACATTAACCGAGACAGTTTTCACATACGAGAGCAAACTACCGTATCAGCTTGGGTAATGTAACAAACATCAATAACAGATACAGTGACAGCACTTACCTTGACGCCTCCAGTTATTAAAACTGAAAAATATCTTAGACATTGACCTTGAACATTGTGCAGTTGAAGGCTTAGGGGGGATGCAGTTCAAAGCCTAGTAGATGCACTTGGTCTAGGGTTGCAGCTGAAGTTCTAGGGTATGCACTTGAAGGTCTTGGGGATGTACTGGTAGGGTGCATTAAGGGCCTAAATGGCACATTGAAAGCTAAGGGAATGCATTTGAAGGCCTAGCGGATTAAATGTAGAGCTGCAATTTAAGGTTAGTTAGATTAGGTTAGGACAGGTAAGGTTAGGTTAAGTTAGGTTAAATTAGATTAGGCTAGGTAAGGTTAGGATAGAGTAGGTTAGGTTGGATTAGGTTAGATTAGATAAGGTTTATCAGGAAACAGGTTAGGTTAGGTCAGGAAACAGGATGTTTCCTGACGCGGGTCACTCGTGTGATGACCCGAAGTTGGAGCTTTTGGTCATCTGACTAAGGCCTTCAGCTGGCTTACCCTTCCACTCCTTTAAAAAAATTTATGATTGCAACCATTTATTAATGCCAGTGACCTAGAGAATACATTTCATGTGGCTAATATTGATTTCAATACTGACTTCAACAAATTAATCTTATCTTGGAATTTAGGAAGGTGGGTTGGGTTAAGGTGGGTTGGGTTAAGGTGGGTAGGCTTAGGCTGAGTTGCAATAATTAAGGGTCTTTTAAGTGCATCGTTTAGGCCTTCATGTTCCTCACGTACAACTAAAGTTGCTTCCCGTAGAAATAAAACTGCATCCCGTTGGCGTGACCTTAAATCTCATCCCCATGACCTTAAATTATGTTCCACAGGCCTTAAATTGCAAAAAATATGAATCCCCTATAGAGTGGTTATCACCAGCACCTAAGTTACTGGCTATCACCACCACCCAATTCACCAGTTATCACCACCACCTAAGGTACCAGTCACCACCACCTAAGGTACCAGTCATCACCACCACCTAAGGTACCAGTCATCACCACCTAAGGTACCAGTTATCACCACCTAAGGTACCAGTTATCACCACCTAAGGTACCAGTTATCACCACCACCTAAGGTACCAGTTATCACCACCACCTAAGGTACCAGTTATCACCACCACCTAAGGTACCAGTTATCACCACCACCTAAGGTACCAGTTATCACCACCACCTAAGGTACCAGTTATCACCACCACCTAAGGTACCAGTTATCACCACCACCTAAGGTACCAGTCACCACCACCACAGGTACGTCACCACTACTACAGGTACCAGTCACCACCACCACAGGTACCAGTCACCACCACAGGTACCAGTAACCACCACCACAGGTACCAGTCACCACCACCACAGGTACGTCACCACTACTACAGGTACCAGTCACCACCACCACAGGTACCAGTCACCACCACAGGTACCAGTCACCACCACAGGTACCAGTCACCACCACCACAGGTACGTCACCACTACTACAGGTACCAGTCACCACCACCACAGGTACCAGTCACCACCACAGGTACCAGTCACCCACACAGGTACCAGTCACCACCACCACAGGTACCAGTCACCACTACTACAGGTACCAGTCACCACCACCACAGGTACCAGTCACCACCACCACAGGTACCAGTCACCACAACCACAGGTACCAGTCACCACCACAGGTACCAGTCACCACCACAGGTACCAGTCACCACCACCACCCAGGTACTCAC